AAAAAAAAAAAAAAAAAAAAAAAAAAAAAAAAAAAAAAAAAAAAAAAAAAAAAAAAAAAAAAAAAAAAAAAAAAAAAAAAAAAAAAAAATAAATGTGCGTGTATCATCAATTATACGAAAATAAAATAACAGACGAAAGTAAAAAAAGCTGTTTTTGAAAAGTAAGAAACTTCACGAGGAGTTACACGTTCGATCATACTTTAAAACGAACAGTGGATTAATGAAAGAAAAATTTCTACGATAACTTAGAATCGAATAATACGAATAACGTAGAGGTATATATTTTTGTTACTTATTGTAATATACGCACACGTACATTTTCACGCGTATATTTTATTGATAATTGTCTAACATTTTATAAATACTGTGCAGAGATGACTTGCTGGTTAGGCTGAGCTAGTGTAAACTAGTGTAAATAAAGCAATAGTGTGATTTTTGTTCACACGTGTTCTCCTTACTGGGCAAATTGAGCAAATCTACAAGTGTGTCGGCTGGCAAAGAACGGGGAAAAATATATCGAGACAGAAACAAAAGAGGTTAGTAAGAAGACAACTCAAGAGGAAAACGTTCCCCCTTAATTTTTGCATTTCACAGGACACAGGCACGCGTGCATCAAAGGTTCGAACAAGAAACGTCGAATGTAGCATGACCGCATAGAACCTAGAAATGGTATGTTCCGAAGTAAATTGTCCCTGTGTCGTTCAGTTTGTAAAAGCCCAACTAACATGTTATCTCTACACTGTATTCAAACATTGAATACAACGATAGAATATTCATTAGAATTACTTACAAATATAATAGGTGCCATATTTGGGACATCTTAACTCGTTGCATAGGTATTCGACATTTTCTTTGGTTGGTCTTATGAAAACTATACATTTTAAATGCTTTAATCCTTCGTTACGAACATTTGCATCGATCCTTTCAAATAAATAAACTTCTTTGAGAAATATTTCCGATTGACTATATAGTAAACTTACTATACTTGTCTGAAAATACATAAATTTTCTTTTAAAGATATATTTAGTTCATATAACTTATACAGTAATGCTCCATTAAATTCAAAAAGTTCAGGCTACAGCAGCTCACTTTAATCGTATTAAAGGTATCAATAATACTTTTTCCTCTTACAGATAATTCTAGTAATCGTCAGCATTGTCAAGCATTGCCATTGTCGCATCAAGAATGAAAAGATCGTTGTATTTTTATAAGTGGTATTAAAACATCGCTGGAATTCTCCCGGTTAAAATTAATCCAAACGTGATATATATTAGATTAATTTTAATTATAACTAACTTGATGTAGATAGCAAAATGATAGATAACAACGGAACAAAATAGTCTGATTTACGTGATGTTCCGACTCGGTTTGATCGGAAATAGCGTATTAGCACTATTTTTTCGAAAGGAAACACGAAAATAGCGGTAAGTAACATTTTCTTTATCGTATATTTACTTCTTTCGATAACGGCATCTCCTTGTGGTTCATTTGTCTCCTTCTCTCGGATTGTTCAATGCATCAGGTTTCGCTGAGATCGAGACAGAGCAGTGGAAGAAGAGAGGGAATGGGAGATGAAAATTAAATCGGCCAAATTCTGGTTGAATTTAATCGAGCATTTCTGTATAATGAAATATATACAGTGAAGAACATAACGACGATATGCTATATAGAAAATAATTAAACGCTATATAAAATACGATTAAATTAAAAACATTCAATTAATCGCAATCATTCTATATAGTTTATCATATTATACTTTATCGCGACAAAACATTTTATATTCCATTTCAGCTACACTATAGATCGTTAAGCGAAAAAAGAGAAGGGAATCATATTGCGACATCTGAACAACCATCATACCATACCTTTCTATTGTCCTTATCCGATTATATGTTTTTGTTTTAATTTTGCTTTCATATTTTATTCCGTAGACGTAAAACAGTATCAACTTGAGCAAAGGTTAATGTTCAAAGGGTATGCACAGGAATTGGTTATAAAACAAAATAACGAATAAAATTAAAATAGCTAAACTTTGGGCAAATTGAATACGTTTGTTAAAGGTATTAGCTTACGAACCGAGGATCTAATAAAATACTTAGTCACCGTGCAAAACGTTGTCTAACTTAATATGCTACAAAAATAAATGTACTAGATTAAATAAATATCTTTTCTATTTAAATTAATAAGTATTTACTATAACCTCTTTACAACTTTTACACGTGGCTCTCGACGCTAGTGTCACGGGAAATGTGGTTGGAGTGAAACAACTCCCGATGACAATAAAGTATCGAATTCGAACGTTCGTTCGAACTAGGTTGAATTGTTCGGACGATGCAAAGAGTCGGGATATTTAAGTGTTCGTATCTATTTTATCGTAGTATCAATAGGTCTTTACCAGTAGCGCATCATAGTTTGATGGGATACTTAAGACCGTTTTTTTTCTCTAGCTCGGTCAGCTTTTATAGGTGAGATTTTTGGAGGTGGTTCAAAATAATGGGGAAGGATATTTATGATTATTGGAGAAAAGTGAGTTTCGTGATACTTCTAGTTTTAAACGTGGCGTGAGAAATGGAGGTAGGGTGTTCATGATTAGTTTTAAGATAGGACATTTGGAAAATCAAGATGGGTGTTTATGGAGAGGATTAGTTCTATGATAAGATGTCTGGCGGCGTGGGAAATCGGAATGGAGCGTTTGTGAAAAGGGTTAAATTTTTAGGATAAGAAGTCTATTTTTGGGTATGGCGTCAGATAACTGTGCAGGAGGTTAATAATTTCAGGCAGGGGAAATAAGGTTTGAAAGTAGGATCGTAGGGGTTTATCACACTAGGCTGACGCATTGTCCGAGAAACAAAGACGCATCGATAGAAAAGGATAGTGCACGGACAAAGACTACGAAAGTGTCTTGCAATTAAAATATTAAAAAGATTCTTTATCTGCTTATTAAAAAGAAATTACAGGAAAATAAGGCAGAAGTGAGTTTCTGGTCCATTTATATTTTTCAAATGTCCAAGATTATAAGCATAAGGATAGAATTAATAGTTTGTTATTAAAAAGTAAAAAAAAATCAAATTCCAGTTAGAGCGCAGGACAGATTATTCGAAAAACTAATGTTTTCATTGCTGTAGACGAAAACTATTAAAAGAATATTCTTCACAGAAAGAAATTTAATTTAATATTAATGATTCGATAGTGGTCCGATAGTGATTCGAAAGAAAAAGAAAAGATAAATTTTTGTCATGTGAATTACATAGAAAAGAACTGTAAATTGAATTTCAAAATTATAAATAATTGGCAACTGGAATATAAAATAAATCTCGAAAGATCAAACGTCAAACATTTTGTGAAGATAAACATTTGTAGAATTATGAATGATAATCGGTAAAATTGATATAATAACTCTGCAATTCGTACAATGAGGTTAATTATTTGTTAATTAGAATTGGTATAATCAACGAAAAATAAGTTTTTTAAATTGATCAGCATTATTACCTAACAAAAATATCGTTGGAAACGTTTAATGGTATTTATTTATTGAATATAAGCGTTGTTGCGGCCCCAGGACCGCAATGTCCCAAGTCAAGTGGAGGCCCGTTTTATGTCTCTATTGTAAGCATCCCTTGACTCGCGCATACTCAGCGTCGACTAACCCACCGCTGGGATAGACCGTGACAAGGACCGATAAATTATCCTCTTAGACGACAGGCGCTAGAACCCAAATGTTTAAACAACCACCACCACCGAAAGACGCTGAAGTTAGCATACACCCCCAATATCATAGCAACCAATAAGAAGACAGTCGATCCTTATAAAACTACCGACAAGGCATTCACAAGAAGATTCTCCGTAAAACCTCCATCACGACCACATCAAGATTGTCAGTAAAAGCTCCATCACGACCACAACATCATCAAACGAGACGCACCAACACTCAGCGCAGGAGACTGTCTACTACTATAGAACTCCTTGCAGTTCAACACCAACCAGGTCTACCTCTATCAAGTTAGAGTAGACCGCATCCCAAGCAGCATTGCCGCAGCAGCGTAACGGGCCTTACAACCCCGTGAAACTCCACGAGCGAATTGCAGTGTTCAGGACGCAACAAGCGTGAACATAATAATCGTCAGATTTACTTTAGAAGAAATTTCTATATGTGTTTTCACTTACGCTTGTAAAGGAATTTCAACGAATACAAGAGATATACGTATAGAATTATTTAGAAATATAGATACATATTTTATTATTAATATTATTCTATATTCCTATATACGATGAATTACAATATCCTATGTAAACATTGGAAGAAAAACAATCAAAATTTGTAAAAGAAAAAGTAAGCAACATTTATTTCGTAAGTCAATCTATTTGGCTTTGAAGTAAGTTATCTCAACTATAAAAAAAGATCTAGAACCTTTACTTCTTCTTTGAAATCTTTCAAACAAACGAATAACGAATAAGTAATCAAATGCATATCTGAAAGTTGCAACCATATCAGTCACGTGAATTGTATTTCTTACTGAAACAAAAAACATTGTCAATTTTTTACAAATACCATGTCTTATGGTGCGCTAGGTATTAAGTATCTTTTTTCCCTTTTTGTAATCGTGAATGATAAAGTTGTAAATCGGTAACATTTTCGTCTAATAAATACCGTTACTGAAAAAAGTACTTGCTCCGAAACGAAAAATGGCACATTCTCGGCAATACATTTCATAACTTTTTTCTACTCCAACAATGCGTTCATCCTGAACGATAAGACGCATAAATTGCCACAGCGTTCTGTATTAATCAAAAATTTGTTCTTTAATTCGAGTTCATATGTCATTGCGTTTAAATGTCAGGCCTCCAGCGTAGGAATTTTCGGATGTCACCGTTAGGCCACAATAGCACTTGATAACTATTCGAAATAAATTTGTAGTTAAAGCAATAATAAAACTTGAATTATAAATATCTCGGAAAGTATGGAATCGTTGGCCTTATAATGTAGGAATGGTGAGCGTGGCGTGATTAGGGCATGAGATCACCGTCTGTGACGGTGCCTTTTTGTCTAGGTACGACTGTAAAGCGCATGGGAACGCTTGGACCGTTCCTTGAAAATAGAGGATAATAAACAGCGGTCTCGGGTTTGGCTCGAGTGTTCGGAGTGTTATCCGGAGAGCGTGTGAAAGGATGAGTGACCGCGCGCAAGGATCGTATCAATGAGGTATCTATGGAAATATCGGTTGCAGGCGAAGGATGGAAGCCTAGGAATGCGTCTGAGTGTTTAGGCTACATGACCCACTGAGGGCAAGGCTGTGGAGGAATGAAAGAGAGCACGAGTATGAAAGAAGGTAGAGTGCAAGGTTTAAATAAGGGCGTAAAGCGAACAGTTCTTTGGGACTTTGAAACAGTGTGAGAAGTCATAGCGTTTAGAATAAGTTTGAAATTAGTTCTCAATAAATCATATTTTTATTATCTACCACCGTCGTTTTGCTGCCACCTAACAATTCCTACAATCATTTTATGTTTTTCTATTTCATTCGACAGAAAGATTTTTCACGATTCATTGTACGAACTATAAATGAATTCTAAATTTATTACAATTTTCTAGTTTAAATCCTAACGTTAATCTTCAACGTTTGAAAAAATGCAAGGTGATAAAACTCATTCAAAAGACATAAATTATTAATTACTTTACGATGAAATGGATTTACAAAAATATAAATCAACAAACTGAATATTGTCATATTTTAGTTGAATATTATCCAGTTCTAAATCACACTTAGTTAAAACAGTCGTGTTTTTGAAAAATCACATTTTCAAAGAATGCGTGATATTTCAAATATTGCATGTACAGAAGAATTAGAAATTCATTATTCGCGTATCTACACGGTTATAGAAAATTATTTAAAAATTCTTTACCTAACGGAAAATCACTTTTGCACAGAAAGCTGAATTTTTACTGTAATAACATATAAAAGCAACGAATGAAACAAACGAATGAAATTTTAGC